TGGTTGCATTCCACAGTCATAGTGAAGGATCTTCAATGACACTTGTCCAGTTCCATTCCACTTGCTTGCGTGCCTCTCTCTCTGTGAAGGATCTTCAATGACACTTGAACAGTTATTTCTATCTTGGTCACGTGCCACTTTCTCTGTGAAGGAACTTGAATGGCAATTGACCAGTTCCCTCTGTTATGGTCGCGTGTCACTGTCTCTGTAAATGATCTTCATTGGTACGTGATCAGTTCTGTTCATCTTGGTAGCGTGCCAATCTCTCTGGAGATCTTGAATGACACCTGTCCAGTTTCCTCTCACTTGGTAGCGTGCCACACTGTTTGTAAAGGAATTTCAGTGGCACTTTTCCAGGTCTCTCTATCACTGTCGCACGCCACAGTCTCTGTGAAGGATCTTCAATGACACTTGACTAGTTCCCTCTAAATTGGTCGCGTGCCACTGTCTCTATGAAGGAACTTCAATGGCAATTGACCAGTTCCCTCTATCGTGGTCATGTGCCACTGTCTCTGTGAAAGACCTTCAATGGTACTTGACCAGTTCTCTCTATCATGGTCGCGTACCACTGTCTCTGTGCAGGATCTTCAATGACACTTGATTAGTTCCCTTCCTCTTGCTTTCCTGCCACTCTCTCTGTGAAGGATCTTCAATGGCACTTGTCCAGTTCCCTATATCTTGGTCGCTTGTCACTCTCTCTGTGAATGATCTTGAATGGCAATTGACCAGTTCCCTCTGTCTTGGTCGCGTGCCGATGTCTCTGTAAGTGATCTTCATTGCTACGTGATCACTTCCCTCCATCTTGGTCGCGTGCCAATCTCTCTGTGAAGGATCTTCAATGACACCTGTACAGTTTCCTCTAACTTGGTAGCCTGCCACGGTCTCTGTGAAGAAACTTCAATGGTATTTGACCAGTTCATTCTATCTTGTTCGCGTGCCACTCTCACTGTGAAAGATCTTCAATGATATTTGTCAATTTCTCTTTATCTTGGTTGCGTGCCACTGTCCATGTGAATAATCTTAACTGACACTTGACCAGGTCCCTTCCTCTTGCTTGCGTGCCACTCGCACTGTGAAGGATCTCCAATGACACTTGAACAGTTCCCTCTGTCGCATGCCACACTCTCTGTAAAGGATCTTCAATGGTACTTTACCAGTTCCCTCTATTTTGGTCGCGTGCCACTGTCTCTGAGAAGGATCTTGAATGGTAATTGTCCAGTTCCCTCTATGTTTGTCGGGTGCCACTATCTCTGTGAAGGAACTTGAATGGTAATTGACCATTTCCCTCTATCTTGGTCTCGTGCCACTGTATCTGTGAAGGATCTTCAATGACACATGAACAGTTCCCACTAACTTGGTTGCGTGCCTCTTTTTCTGTAAAGGTCCTTCAATGGTACCTAACCATTTCACTCCATCTTGGTCACGTGCCACTCTCTCTGTGAAGGATATTCAATGACACTTGACCAGTTCTCTATATGTTGGTCGCGTGCCACTCTCTCTGTGAAGGATCTTCAATGACACTTCTCCAGTTCCTTCTATTTTGGTTGCGTGCCAGATTTTCTGTAAAGGATCTTCAATGGTACTAGACCAGTTACTTCTATCTTGGCCGCGTGCAACTCTCTCTGTGATGAATATTGAAAAGTAATTGACCAGTTCCCTCCATCTTGGTCGCGTGCCACTCTCTCTGTGTAGGATCTTGAATGACACCTTTCCAGTTTCCTCTATCTTGCTAGCGTGCCACCCTGTTTGTAAAGGATTTTCAATGGCATTTGCCCAGTTCTCTCTATCTCTGTTTCGTGCCACTGTCTCTGTGAAGGATCTTCAATGACACTTGACCGGTTCCCTCCATCTTGGACGGGTGCCACTGTCTCTGTGAAGGAACTTCAATGGCAATTGACCAGTTCCCTCTATCTTGGACGGTTGCCACACTCTCTGTGAAGGATCTTGAATGGTAATTGACCAGTTCCCTTGATCTTGGTCGCGTGCCACTGTCTCTCTAAATGATCTTCAATGGTACTTGATCAGTTCCCTCCACCTTTGTCGCGTACCACTCTCTGTGTGAAGGATCTTGAATGGCACCTGAGCAATTTACTCTATCTTGGTCGCGTGCCACAATTTTTGTAAAGTATTTTCAATGGCACTTGACCAGTTCTCTATCTCTGTCGCGTGCCACTGTCTCTGTGTAGGATCTTCAATGGTACTTGTCCAGTTCCCTCTATCTTGGTCGCGTGCCACTCTCTCTGTGATAGATATTCAATGACACTTGACAAGTTCGTTCTATCTTGGTCGCGTGCCACTCTCTCTATGAAGGATCTTCAATGATATTTGTCAAGTTCCCTCAATGTTGGTCGCGTGCCACACTCTCTGAAGTATCTTCAATGACACTTGAGCAGTTCACTATATCTTGGTTGCTTGCCACTGTCTCTGTGAAGCATCTTCAATGACACGTGTCCAATTCCCTCTATCTTGATCGCGTGCCACTGTCTCTTTGAAGTAACTCTAATGGTATTTGACCAGTTCCCTCTACGTTGGTTTCGTGCCATATTCTCTTTGAAAGATCTTCAATGGCATTTGACCAGTTCCTCTATATTGGTTGCGTGCCACTGTCTCTCTGAAGGATATTCAATGACACTTGACCATTTCCCTTCCTCTTGCTTGCGTGCCACTCTCTCTGTGAAGGATCTTCAATGACACTTCACCAGTTCCCTCTATCCTGTTTGCGTGCCACCCTTTCTGTGAAGGATCTCCAATGGTATTTGACCAGTTCCCGCTACGTTGTCTGCGTGCCATATTCTCTTTGAAAGTTCTTTAATTGCACTTGACCAGTTTCCTCTATTCTGGTTGCGTGCAACTATCTCTGTGTAAGATCTTCAATGGTACTTGACCAGTTCCCTCTATCTTGGTCGCGTGCCACTCTCTCTGTGAAGGATGTTCAATGATACTTGACCAGTTCCCTCTATCTTGGTTGCGTGATACTTTTTCCGTAACAGATATTCAATGGTACATGACCAGTTCCCTCTATCTTGGTCGCGTGCCACTCTCTCTGTGAATGTCTTCAATGACACTTGACTAGGTCCCAATATCTTGGACGCGTGCCACTCTCCAAGTACCATTGAATATCATTTAAAGAGACAGTGGCACGCGACCCAGATATAGGGAACTAGTCAATTACCATTCAAGATCATTCACAGAGAGAGTGGCACGCGACCACGATAGAAGTAACTGGTCAAGTGCCATTGAAAATCCATTACAAAAAGTGTGGCACGCGACCAAGATAGTAGAAACTGGTGAGATGTCATTCATGATCCTTCACAGAGAGAATGGGTCGCGACCAAGATGGAGGGAACTGATCAAGTACCATTGAAGATCATTTACAGAGACAGTGGCACGCGACAAAGATAGAGGTAACTGGTCAAGTACCATTGAAGATCCTTCACAGAGACAGTGGCACGCGACCAAGATAGAGGGAACTGGTCAATTGTCATTGAAGATCCTTCAGAGAGAGAGTGGCACGCGACTAAGATATAGGGAACTAGACAAGTACCATTGAAGATCCTTTACAGAAAAATTGGCACGCAACCAAGATAGAGGGAACTGGTCAAGTGTCAATGAAGATCCATCAAAGAGAGAGTGGCACGAGTCCAAGATACAGGGAACTTGTCAAGTACCATTGAAAATCCTTTACAACAAGTGTGGCACGCGGCCAAGATAGAAGAAACTGCTCAGGTGTCATTCAAGATCCTTCACAGAGAGAGTGGCATGCAAGCAAGAGGAAGCAAACTGGTCAGGTGTCATTCAATATCCTTCACAGAGAGAGCGGCACACGACCAAGAAAGAAGTAACTGGACAAGTACCTTTGAAGATCCTTTACAGAAAAAGTGGCAGGCGAGCAAGTTAGATGGAACTGGTCATTACCATTGAAGATCCTTCACAGAGTCAGTGCCACTCGAAAAAGAGAGAACTGATCAATTGCCATTGAAAATCCTTTACGAAAAATGTGGCAGGCGACCATGATAGAGGAAATTGTTCAGGTGTCATTCAAGATCCTTCACAGAGAGAGTGGCACGCGAACAAGATGGAGGGAACTGATCAAGTACCATTGAAGATCATTACAGAATGGGTAAGCGATTAACATAGAGGAACCGGTCAATTGACAGTTCAAGATCCTTCACAGAGAGAGTGGCATGTGACCAAGATAGAAGTAACTGTTCAAGTACCATTGAAGATGCTTTACAGAAAAAGTGGCACGCAACCAAGATAGAGGGAACTGGTCAAGTGTCATTGAAGATCCTTCAGAGAGAGTGGCACGCGTCCAAGATATTGGGACCTAGTCAAGTGTCATTGAAGGCATTCACTGAGAGAGTGGCACGCGATTAAGATAGAGGGAACTGAACAAGTACCATTGAATATCCGTTACGGAAAATGTGTCACGCAACCAAGATAGAGGGAACTGGTCAAATGTCATTGAACATCCTTCAGAGAGAGTGTGGCACGCGACCAAGATAGAGCGAACTGTTCAAGTATCATTGAAGTTCTTTCACATAGAAAGTGGCACGCAACCAGAATAGAGGAAACTGGTCAAGTGCAATAAAGAACTTTCAAAGAGAATATGGCAAGCAGCCAACGTAGAGGGAACGGGTCAATTACCATTCATGATCCTTCAGAGAGACAGTGGCACGCGACCAAGACAGAGGGAACTGGTCAAGTATCTCTATCTTGGTCGCGTGCCACACTCTCTGTGAAAGATCTTCAAGGGCACTTGACCAGTTCCCTCTATCTTGATTGCGTGCCACTGTCGATTTGAAGGATCTTCAATGACACTTGAACAGTTCCCTCTATCTTGGTTGCGTGCTAGTTTTTCTGTAAATGATCTTCAATGGTACTTGACCAGTTACTTCTATCTTGGTCGCGTGACACTCTCTCTGTGAAGGATCATGAATGGTAATTGACCTGTTGCCTCTATATTGGTCGCGTGCCACTCTCTCTTTAAATGATCTTCAATGGTACGTGACCATTCCTCTATCTTGGACGGTTGCCACTGTCTCTGTGAAGGAACTTCAATGGCAATTGACCAGTTGCCTCTATCTGTCTTGGTCGCCTGCCTCTGTCTCTGTGAAGTATCTTCAATGGTACTTGACCAGTTCCCTCTATCTTGGACGGTTGCCACTGTCTCTGTGAAGGAACTTCAATGGCAATTGACCAGTTCCCTCTATCTTGGTCGCGTGCCACTGTCTCATTGAAAGATCTTCAATGACACTTGACCAGTTCCCTCTATCTTGGTCGCGTGCCACTGTCTCTGTGAAGGAACTTCAACAGTATTTGACCAGTTCCCTCTATCTTGGTTGCCTGCCACACTCTCTGTGAAGGATCTTCAATGTCACTTGAGCAGTTCCCTATATCTTGGTTGCGTACCTCTCTCTCTGTGAAGGATCTTGAATGGTAATTGACAAGTTCCCTCAATCTTGGTCGCGTGCCATTGTCTCTCTGAAGGATCTTGAATGGTATTTGACCATTTCCCTCAATCTTGGTCGCGTGCACGTGTCTCTGTGAAGGATCTTCAATGACACTTGACCAGTTCCGTCTATCTTGGTTGCGTGCCACTTTCACTGTGAAAGATCTTCAATGGTACTTGAGCAGTTCCCTCTATCTTGGTCGCGTGCCACTCTCTCTGTGAATGTCTTCAATGACACTTTACCAGTTCCCTCTACCTTGGTTGCGTGCCTTTTTCACTATGAAAGATCTTCAATGGCACTTGACAAGTTCCCTTGATCTTAGTCGCGTTCCACTGTCTCTGTGAAGGCTCTTCAATGATACTTGACTACTTCCCTCTATCTTAGTCGCGTGCCACTGTCTCTCTAAAGGATATTCAATGGCACTTGTCCAGTTCCCCTTATCTTGGTCGCGTGCCACTCTCTCTGTGAAGGATCTTCAATGTCACTTGACCAGTTGCCTCCATCTCTGTCACGTGCCACTCTCTCTGTGAAGTATCTGCAATGACACTTGACCAGTCCCCTCTATCTTGATCGCGTGCCACTCTGTCTGTGAAGGATCTTCAATGGCACTTGACCAGTTCCCTCTATCTTGGTCGTATCGCAGTGTCTCTGTGAAGCATCTTCAATGGTACTTGACCAGTTCCATCTGTCGTGTTCCATTGCCAATGTCTCTGTGAAGGATCTTCAACGTCACTTGACCAGATCCCTCTATCTTTGTCGCGTGCCACTCTCTCTGTGAAGGATCTTCAATGGTAATTGCCCAATTCCCTCTATCTTGGTCGCCTGCCACTGTCTCTGTGAAGTATCTTCAATGGTACTTGACCAGTTCCCTCTATCTTGGACGGTTGCCACTGTCTCTGTGAAGGAACGTCAATGGCAATTGACCAGTTCCCTCTATCTTGGTCGCGTGCCACTGTCTCATTGAAAGATCTTCAATGACACTTGACCAGTTCCCTCTATCTTGGTCGCGTGCCACTGTCTCTGTGAAGGAACTTCAACAGTATTTGACCAGATCCCTCTATCTTGGTTGCCTGCCACACTCTCTGTGAAGGATCTTCAATGTCACTTGAGCAGTTCCCTATATCTTGGTTGCGTACCACTCTCTCTGTGAAGGATCTTGAATGGTAATTGACAAGTTCCCTCAATCTTGGTCGCGTGCCATTGTCTCTCTGAAGGATCTTGAATGGTATTTGACCATTTCCCTCAATCTTGGTCGCGTGCACGTGTCTCTGTGAAGGATCTTCAATGACACTTGACCAGTTCCGTCTATCTTGGTTGCGTGCCACTTTCACTGTGAAAGATCTTCAATGGTACTTGAGCAGTTCCCTCTATCTTGGTCGCGTGCCACTCTCTCTGTGAATGTCTTCAATGACACTTTACCAGTTCCCTCTACCTTGGTTGCGTGCCTTTTTTCACTATGAAAGATCTTCAATGGCACTTGACAAGTTCCCTTGATCTTAGTCGCGTTCCACTGTCTATGTGAAGGCTCTTCAATGATACTTGACTACTTCCCTCTATCTTAGTCGCGTGCCACTGTCTCTCTAAAGGATATTCAATGGCACTTGTCCAGTTGCCTCCATCTCTGTCACGTGCCACTCTCTCTGTGAAGGATCTGCAATGACACTTGACCAGTCCCCTCTATCTTGATCGCGTGCCACTCTGTCTGTGAAGGATCTTCAATGGCACTTGACGAGTTTCCTCTATCTTGGTCGCGTCGCAGTGTCTCTGTGAAGCATCTTCACCAGTTCCATCTGTCGTGTTCCGTTGCCAATGTCTCTGTGAAGGATCTTCAACGTCACTTAACCAGATCCCACTATCTTTGTCGCGTGCCACTCTCTCTGTGAAGGATCTTCAATGATAATTGCCCACTTCCCTCTATCTTGGTCGCCTGCCACTGTCTTCAATGGTACTTGACCAGTTTCCTCTATCCTGGTTGCGTGTCTCTCTCTGTGTAAAAGATCTTCAATGACGCTTGACCAGTTCCCTCTATCTTGGTCGCGAACCACTGTATCTGTGCATGATCTTCAATGACACTTGACCAGTTCTCTCTACCTTGGTTGCGTGCCACTTTCTCTGTGAAAGGTCTTCAATGGCACTTGTCCAGTTCCCTCTATCTTCGTCGCGTGCCACAGTTTCTTTAAAGGATCTTCAATGTCACTTGACCAGTTCCCTCTATCTTGGTCGCGTGCCACTGTCTCTCTGAAGGATCTTCAATGACACTTGACCAGCTCCCTCTATCTTGTTTGCGTGACACTGTCTCTTTGAAGGATCTTCAATGATACTTGACCAGTTCCCTCTATTATGGTCCGTTGCCACTGTCTCTCTGAAGCTTCATCAATGTCACTTGACCAGTTCCCTCTATCTTGGTCGCGTGCCTCTGTATCTTTGAAGGATCTTCAATGACACTTGAGCAGTTCCCTCTACCTTGATTTCTTTCCACTTTCTCTTGTGAAAGATCTTCAATGGCACTTGAGCAGTTCCCTCTATCTTGGTCGCGTGCCACTTTCTCTGTTAAAGGTCTTCAATGGCACTTGACCAGTTCCCTCTATCCTGGTCGCGTGCCACTGTCTCTCTAAAGGATATTCAATGACACTTGACCAGTTCACTCTATCTTGTTCGCGTGCCACTCTCTCTGAAGGATCTTCAATGGCACTTGACCCGTTGCCCCTATCTTGGTCGCCTGCCAATGTCTCTAGAGAATATTCAATGGTAATTGACCAGTTCCCTCTAACTTAGTCGCGTGCCACTGTCTCTCTAACTGATGTTCAATGACGCTTGACACTAATTCCCTCTACTTTGGTTGCCTTCCACTGTGAAAGGTCTTCAATGGCACTTGACCAGTTCCCTCTATCTTGGTCGCGTGCCACTCTCTCTGTGAAGGATCTTCAATGGCACTTGGCCAGTTGCCTCTATCTCTGTCGCGTGCCACTCTCTCCCTGAACGTTCTTCAATGGTACTTGGCCAGTTCACTCTATCTTGGTTACGTGGCACTCTCTCTGTGAAGGATCTTTAATGGTACTTGAACAGTTCCTTCTATGTTGGCCGCGTGCTACTCTCTATGTGAAGGATCTTGAATGGTAATTGACCACTTCCCTCTATCTTGGTTGCGTGCCACTATCTCTGTGAATGATCCTCAATGGCACTTGATCAGTTCCCTCTATCTCGGTTGCGTGCCACTCTGTGAAGGATCTTCAATGACACTTGACCAGTTCCCTCTATCTTGTTTGCCTGCATTATCTTTGTGAAGGATCTTCCAGTCCAATCAAGAACGTTGTCAGCCCATTTTTATCTCCGATTGTCTTTTTTTGCCTTCTGTGGTACCATGTAAGATAGCAGTGAAAAGTTTGTTGTGTCCTATGGTATATTCATGACATTTGAACATTCTCTTCTTAGATTAGTCCTGGGTTTGACGATAAGGCCTCTGATCAGGAGATCGGGTGTTTTGAGGAGCGTGGAACCTCCTCTTAATTGCTGTTACTTCCAGATCCATCCTTACCCGGGTAGTAGCACCTTTTAAGGTCTTAGCTATGGGCAAATAGTGAATCTCCAAACAAAACGCTACGAAATTATAAAAATACATTTTTTATGGTAAATTTAGTAACGATACATTTAAAATAAAAATATTTGACTGTTTAAATACAAGGTTTTATTTAGAGAAAATGACATTACATTTCGCTATTAAATGACCCAAATTGTTGATATGCCGTAAAACAAACCAGACCAACCAACTGTTCGTAGATATGACGTTTTGCAGCCAGCCTGGTTCTTGTCTGAGTCATTTGTGATGTGGTTTACATAGGAGACGCTTATTATGTACCTGTAGTGTCGCTGTTAATGTCCAAGATTCACGGGTTTACGTCTGATCTTTGATTTAATGCTGATGTTTTTCTCTTTAAGGATGGTTCCTAGTTTTACGAAGGTTGTCATTGTTTGTGTTGCCCTTGAAATTATTTGTCTATTATTTCAATTCTTGAGCCCTCTTCAATGACAATCGAGCAAAGTTATTTGCTCTAGACTCAAATATTTTGAGTTCCAGAAGTCTCCATTTTGCTACTGTTGGCTGCTTGTAATGTGATGAATTAGAGAAATCTGCACAAATGAAAAATTTTTAACTCCCTACTAAATCCTAAATTATTGTACCAAACGCAAAAACTTAGTAGGAATAGAATGGGAAAAGCGAACTAGTGATTCTCTTCTTTCTAAAGTTAAAATAGGGGAAAATAGTAAAACTCAACAACTGTGTAAAATCTTTAAAGAAAATATTTATTATATTACAGATAAAAAGGTACAAATACAAAATTTGCACAAAAATTTCCGAAATTTTCCTAAAATGACAAAAGGATTAGAATTCCTAAAATGACAAAAGGATTAGAATTCCTAAAATGACGAAAGGATTAGAATTCCTAAAATGACAAAAGGATTAGAATTCCTAAAATGACAAAAGGATTACAATTCCTAAAATGACAAAAGGATTAGAATTCCTAAAATGACGGAAGGATTAGAATTCCTAAAATGACGAAAGGGTTTACAATTCCGAAAAATGGAAAACAAAGAAAGTAACATTCTGGAAAGTAGAAAACAAAGGTGGGACTACATTTTGAAAAAAACGAAAAAAAAAAAAAAAAAAAAAAACTTTTATCCCACGAACGTTTCTGGGACATGAAGATATATTTTGAAATGTCTTTTTTTTTATATTCAGGAATATCTTTGTGTTCTTTTTGCAGGAGAATTTTTATTTCTGAACGACAAAATTCCTTCGGTTTTCTCTCGCTGGTTTGTTAACTATCTGCCTTCTCTTTTGAATGCCTTTCACAAGGAAATGTTTTCTGCTTGACGTCTAAATGCTTCCACCATCATGTCCAAATGCTTTCTGGATTTATCTGCTAATCGGAGGATCATAGAAGGCTACATCTGATTTTCACATGGGCTAAAGACAATGTCTCTTCTTGGACAGTAAACGTGAAAACATAATTTTCCATAAATTCAAAATGAATCCATTTTGGCGGTTTTTAACAGCTAAGTCGAAAAGATTTACACATATTTTCACAAACCGTCTGGCTTTCTTAAAAATACATTTCTCACAAAAGAACTTTTACGAAAAAGCAAAAACAACCTAGACGATTAAACATCTATTCACTAAATACTAACTCATTAAAAAAAATTATAATTTATCTATTTTATTATTTGCAGTAGCGATGTGCCTTGTATGGTTTCTTAAAGTAGAGATAGCAAACTGAGTTTTTTTGCATGCTAGCATGCTAGTTAACATTCATGTCAGTCAGCTGTTGGCTCTCACGCTGGCCAATAGGATCTTCCTGCCTATTCGTGGCAGCCAGCTATAGGCTCTCACTCTTGCCAGTAGAAAATGGCCGCAAACTACATGAAAACTGCCGTAAAAGCATGAAAAAATCGATTATTTCCACTATCGATGTGAGTTGGGAAATGCAAAATCGGTCTTGTCCTTCCCGCTAACTTGGAGCATGTGCATGTAAATTTTGGTGCAAGTCCGTCGAAAATTGCAGCCGTGCATTCGTTACACACACACACACACACACACACACACACACACAACCTGCCTTTTATAGAGATTCGTTTTCTATAGCTTATCAACTTATTGCAAGTTATTTAAAGCTAAAAAAAATATTTTTATGAGGTAATACTGACTTGGCGAAACTTTGAGTTTTCTGATAAGAAATTGATAAAACTAGCGGCGAAACATTCAAGAAAGCCAGGCTGAATAGCAGGTATGATTAAAACCTGATTTGACTATTATTTAAGCTGACGGCGGGGAGAAATCGGTTGTATTAGATGTAAGAGAGAAAATAGTATGGGAAAGTGCAATTATTTTAAATGCAAGCAGAGAGGATTTAACATACAGAATATTGACTAATTCGTAATGTTCATGTTGAGGTTGGAACTTGGGGAATGTTTATAGAAGTCATAACAGCCAAGGTAAAATTGGTTGGCCTTGTGAATAAATATTTGCAATTGTTGGCGGTAAGCGTCACAAAATTTGCTGTTGCCAGTTGAGAACATCAATGTTCAACTTGACAGGATCTTTGAAGGGAAATTTGTCACCTAACGTAATTATCCCTGTTCATTCCAGGGGCTTGTTTCTTACAATTCAATCTGGATTGCCACAATGTCTCAGGTTACCTGCCGACCGTCTGGACAGATTTGTGACACTATTACTGCTCACTAAAACGTCAAACCACGTACCGCTATGATATTACATCTGATAGCATGACCAAAGATTCTTGACCCTGAGGTTATCATGGAAAGACACGCGGCATATAGTTCTATATTCCACATTCAGTTACCGAAACATGAGCTCGTCCGTCACCTATCGTGTTACATACAGTTGTCGTGGTTTGAATCGACCCAGCTATAGTGTTACACTAGCGTAACATTTCCGGGTGTCGAGTGGTGCCTGGCTACAGGAGTTAATATACTTGTGCTCACTAAATATTTCTATTCGCTCTGCTTGCCTGTGATATAAAATAGTTGACATCAAGACTGTTTCTAGCAAAGTTAGTAGTATTTACTGGAAAAGTCGCTTCTCGGGTTTTTAAATTGCAATGTGCAGAGTTTTGTACACGTTAGCGTTTCGTTTCAGTAACTCCTACGGTAACCGTATACTGTAGATTGTAATAATTATTTGCTCGTTACAGAGGACGGAAAATGCGACACGAAACTCCGAGGTCACATTGGAAGAACGAAAGATGCCTTCCAAAAGATAAGCAAAGTATTAAGAAACAGTAAAAGCTCGTTAGTAATAAAGAAAATAATGCTTAATTGCTATGCAATATCGGCCCTACATGGCAGTGAATGTAGGGCAATCTCATCACAGATGAAGACGACTCATACTTTTCCCAAGAGTATTTGCACATAAGTGGATTCATACTTTTCCCAAGGTTATTTGCCCATAAGTGGATTCATACTTTTCCCAAGAGTATTTGCTCATAGGTGGATTCATACTTTTCCCAAGAGTGTTTGCCCATAAGTGGATTCATACTTTTCCCAAGAGTATTTTCCCATAAGTGGATTCATACTTTTCCCAAGGGTATTTGCCCATAAGTGGATTCATACTTTTCCCAAGAGTATTTGCCCATAAGTGGATTCATACTTTTCCCAAGGTTATTTGTCCATAAGTGGATTCATACTTTTCCCAAGGGTATTTGTCCATAAATGGATTCATACTTTTTCCTATGGTATTTGCCCATAGTGGATTCATGCTTTTCCCAAGGGTATTTGTCCATAAGTGGATTCATACTTTTCCCAAGAGTATTCGCCCATAAGTGGATTCATACTTTTCCCTATGGTATTTGTCCATAAGTGGATTCATACTTTTCCCAAGGGTATTTGTCCATAAGTGGATTCATACTTTTCCCAAGGGTATTTGTCCATAAGTAGATTCATACTTTTCCCAAGGGTATTTGTCCATAAGTGGATTCATACTTTTCCCAAGGGTATTTGTCCATAAGTGGATTCATACTTTTCCCAAGGGTATTTGTCCGTAAGTGGATTCATACTTTTCCCAAGGGTATTTGTCCATAAGTGGATTCATACTTTTCCCAAGGGTATTTGTCCATAAATGGATTCATACTTTTCCCAAGGGTATTTGTCCATAAGTGGATTCATTAACAATTCCGAGCTGTTATCCATTACACCACCTGTACATCCAAGATTACAACACCTGGTATTTCCAAAAGGTTACCCTTCTAGGTACTTACCAAGCTTGACGTTGCTTAACTTCGGTGTTTCAACATGATGTGGCCATAAGCCTTCGAAGTTTTAGAGAAAATGGAAAGAAAAAGGATATTTATACTTAACATCAGGTAGAGATAATTCTAGAGTACATAATGAGGAAAGAGGGATTGGAAAATTTGACACTGACGGGACATATTAAAGACAAGAGGGGCGGAGGGAAGCAACACATAACTTACCTAATGAGCTAGTGTTGTCGGAACAGGGATTTGGAGGGATAGCGAAAAGACAAAAT